AAGAAGAAGAAGAAGAAGAAGAAGAAGAAGAAGAAGAAGAAGAAGAAGAAGAAGAAGAAGAAGAAGAAGAAGAGGAAGAAGAAAACATGCCTATCTATGTTTGACAGCTGCCAGTCTGACATTGAATTCTGTAGCACTGGTTTAGTGGATGCTTGACACACATTTGCTAAAAGGACTGCTCAACTGAGCTCAACCCACTGTACAAGTGTCAGTAAGTGAATGAAAAACTTAGACATGACAAAAACATGACAAACAAATGATGCCCCTTTTCTAGCATGGGGCTTCTCGCCTCAGCAGTACACCCACAGCCCAGTCTTAGCTGTGGCAGGCTGCTGTGTGCACAGCAGTACATCCCAGTCTCTTAGATGTAGATGCGCCTCTTCCCATTGTCCAGATCAAATGTGTCTCTATGCAATGACAAATACCCCTGTGCAGAGGAGACACCCTAAACTGCCCCCCATCTAAGAAGCATCGCCCTAAAGAATATGCTCTAGGGCTACAAAATATTTTTAGAATGACTCTGGACAAAAGAGGAAGAGTCCATTACATTACGTTCCCTTAGTGGCCTTATCTATCTGTACTCTCCCCTGGTGTGACAGAGTTCATTTACTGATAAAAATAAAGAGATAACAGAGGGAAGCATGGACAGGAACTGTCTCCCTGGCAGGGGTGGAGAGAGCTACAACTCACTGCGGGACGCTGGGCAGCACACTTCTTCATTTTGCAAAAACTAAAAGCAACCGCTAGGTCTAAGAACACGTAGGAGCAAAGGCATCATTGAAAGGTTGGGTATACCTGGGCGGGGCTCTATTTCAGTCTCATCTGAAGTTGTTGAGCTTGAGATAACATCATAGGTTGCTTAAAAATAAAAAGGTGAAACAAGAGATATGTTAATTTTGCTATTTGTGCATGATTTCCTGACATATGTCAATGGCGCCCTGGGGCAGTTTCACATAGGAACTAGATTCTTGAGCTGTTGGCCTCCTCACTACTGAGGTGACAGTCACCACTACTGTCTTAACTGTAGGACTTTACGTACCATGCCATGACCATGGCCCCTAGGGTGCTGTGAAAATTGTGCCATATATATTTTAATGAAGTGATTCCAGCTCTAAATCCAAGAGCTCCAGCAAGCATAAACACAAATCTAACAGTCATATGGCAGCTAGGGCAGAGGCTTCTAAAGGAGAGAGGGCACACTGAAACAGAAAGCACTATTTGTAGAATCTATTGCTTATTCTTTCTACTTAGTAGAAGTTGCTGGCACAGCACCTAAGGAGCAAATGGTGCTTAAAGGTTCACACTGTCTCATGTATTAACTTCTTTACCCTTGTTACCATACCTGAGATACAATTGCTGCCACTTTGTAGATTTTCTAGACAAGGATGTTGAGGTTTATATCAGTAAAGACAATTTCCAGGGATCGCATGGTAGGGGCAATTGTTGACTTAGTACATTTTCACCCTAATATCAGGGCTAGGGACAACAGAACTCCTAAGATCAGGGCACTCTTGGCACCACTCCTCTTGGTTTTATTTACAGGCAACTTTCTATGTTCTTCCATAGAGCCATACATGATCCCTTACACAAGGATGCAGGGAGATGTGAAGATAGATTTTATATTCTGTATAAAAGGAAGAAAATGGGCTAAATTCAAACGTGACTCTTTTGATGTAGGGATAAATTTCTTGCACACATAAAAGAACTTCCAAGTAAGAACAGTTGCTAAAATCTTCTCATGTACAAAGAACTGTCTCTGCAGAAATAAGAGGTAGAGAAAGCAGAAACCAGGGGTAGACTGCTTATTCCGGGCATTCAAATTGTCTTATAGAAAAAATAATAAAATCAACATAGCTCACTGGAGGATTTATTTATTGTGTTAATTATTCTATAACAATTTAATGACGTAGAGCCAGTGCTCGTTGAAGCTGTTGGGTGGTACTACACAGTGGGAGAAAGCCTCAAAGAAGAGAACAGCTCACGTTGTCCCTGAAGAGGAGACAGGAGATGTGTGTCACTTGGGAAGAGAAATCTACAAAGTCCTCAAAAGTAGAATATCCTGTGCTAAAATAGACACATATTGAGAGAACCTTATTATAGTCTAACATTTTAATATAAATTAGCCTCATTGTGAGTTTAAAGGGTCATATAGGAATGAATAATCTTTTTTTCTTAATTCTTTTTTTTCTTTTCCAATTTTTAAAAATTTTTTAATATTAGTTACAGTTTGTTAACCTAGTATCCATGCTATATCCTGCTCCCTCTTTCCCTCTCAATCCTACCCTCCTTCTCTCATCTCCTCCCTGCCCCTTTCCAAGTCCACTGATAGGGGAGGGCCTCCTCCCCTTTCATCTGATCCTGGTTTATCAGGTATCTTCAGGACTGGCTGCAAAGTCCTCCTCTGTAGCCTAGCAGGGCTTCTCCTCCCTCGGGGGAGGAGGAGTCAAAGAGCCAGACATTGAGTTCATGTCAGAAAAGTCCCTGTTCCCCTTACGAGGATACCCACTCGGATACTGAGCTACCATGGGCTACATCCGAGCAGAGGTTCTAGGTTATTTCCATACATGGTCCTTGGTTGGAGAAAGAGTCTCATATAAGACCCCTGTGCCCATATATATTTGGTCCTTGTGGAGGTTCTGTCCTCTCCAGGTCATACTAACTCCCCCCTTCTTTCTTATGATTCCCTGCACGCTGCCGAAGGTTTGGTTATGAGTCTTAATATCTGCTTTGATACACTGCTGGGTAGAGTCTTTCAGAGGCCCTCTGTGGTAGGCTCCTGTCCTGTTACTTGTTTGCTCCTACTTCCAATGTCCATCCCATTTGTCTTTTTAAGTGAGGATTGATCATCGTACCCTGGATCTTCTTTCTTGTTTATCTTCTTTAGGTGTATAGATTTCAGTATGTTTATCCTATCTTATAGGTCTATATAGTGAGTATATACCATGTGTGTCTTTCTGCTTTTGGGATACCTCACTCAGGATGATATTTTCTAGGTCCCACCATTTGCCAGCCAATTTCATAGAATTCTCAGTAGAGGAATACAGAATGGCAGAGAAACACTTAAAGAAATGCTCAGCATCCCTAGCCATCAGAGAGATGCAAATCAAAACGACCCTGAGATTTCACCTTACACCTACCAGAATGGCTAAGATCAAAAACTCAAGTGACAACACATGCTGGAGAGGTTGTGGAGAAAGGGGAACCCTCCTCCATTGCTGGTGGGAATGCAAACTTGTACAATCACTTTGGAAATCAATCTGGTGCTTTCTCTGACAATTAGGAATAGTGCTTCCTCAAGATCCAGCTATACCACTCCTAGGCATATATCCAAAATCTGCTCAAGTACACAACAAGGATATTTGCTCAACCATGTTCGTAGCAGCTTTATTGTAATAGCCAGAACCTGGAAACAACCCAGATGTCCCTCAGTTGAGGAATGGATACAGAAATTGTGGTACTTTTACACAATGGAATACTACTCAGCAATTAAAAACGAGGAAATCATGAATAATCTTTTTAAAGAACAAAAATGCTGACAGTTACTAATCCTTGGCCTAGTTTAAGGTCAAGTCAAGGATCTATCACTATCAGCTCTGTCTATATCTGAATAAATTTGGAAATGTCATCAACTTTTACATATTCCTCTCATCTTGGGAAATCATGAATTAATATCTTGACTTTATATTCACACTTCTGAAAAAGGCCATGGCTACATTTATGTTAATTCCCAAATCTCCTTTCTATGGAGTAATGTTAGTTCCATTTTTTCTGCAGTCTATACTTTTATTTCAATATGTATTTATTAATTAACCCTACTTCTCATATTTACATTTTGAGCTCCCAAGGCAGGCCGACACCTTCCCTAAGTCAAACCTACCGTCAATCATTGGGAATAGAATGCTTCACCATCCTCTAGCAATTACTTTTCATCTCTACATCCGTACATTCCTATTTGTTAGGAAGTTCTCCCTTTCAAGTATTTTCTTGAATATACTTGGGATTCAAATAACACACTTGCCAGCATAGATGGTCCCTATATTTCTATTTCTGTACTTTTTGAGAGTTGAGAGGTAAAGAAAAAGAAGCTTTAAAAAATCTTACTTTTATGCTATTTGGACAGTCTTTTGAGAAGCAACCACCTCAACTTGCTATACTGAATCAAAATCTTTTGACTCTGAAATGACAGATGTCAGAGAAGAGAGCTGCAATGAAATAGAATTCTCTATAAAGAAACCTCTCCTATATTCACTGTGAGCTCTCGGTTTCCTTACAAAAACTTTGGCATCCAGAAGTTCTTTACAAAACTTTGCATTTAAGCCTGAGTAGATTTCACTAAATTGTTCAGCCTGCTTTGAACAACTATTCTAGGTACAAAACTGATGAACAGCCCCCAGAGTTGGAGGTGAGTACTACTGTTATTAAGACAGTGTGTATGCCTCTATGCCTTGACGCGTATCACCATCTTCAGTGGATAAAACACTAATGCTATTTGAAACTAGGCAATAGCTTTAATTCATAGAGCCTACATGAGACCAAAATTGAAAGAGAAACTTAATGGGTAGTGCAATTCAAAGCTGTAGAAAGCAAAATAATGAGCTAAAAAAAAAATCACAAAATAATTGTGATTACACAAAATTTTGCTTTCAGAATTTCCAGAAAAAAAATATAGACTTCTAAGACCATTTGTTAATTATGTTTTATGTGCTATATACTTTTATTTTGAAAAACTAAATATATGCAAATATCAACACAAAAAGGCCATGGTAGAGTCATGTGACAGTTCACACAGCATTTCAAATAAACAACAACTTCTTTTATTTTTGCTTGGATTTCTTGAATATCAGTATCCATATGAAATAGTTCCCTCCCAAACATAATTTATTAGACAAAAGACCTTATTTGTATTAGCTTGAACCTGGAAACAAGCTAGATGTCCCTTAACAGAGGAACGGATAAAGAAAATGTGGTACATTTACACAATGGAATACTACCCAGCTATTAAAAACAAGGACATCTTGAAATTGGCAGGCAAATGGATGGCACTAGAAAAGATCATCCTGAGTGAGGTAACTCAAACCCCAAAAGACAGGTATGGTATGTACTCACTTTTAAGTGAATATTAGCCGTAAAGTAGAGGATAAACGTGCTATAATCAAAAAGACCCAAAGAAGCTAAGTGACAAGAAAGACCCAAGAGAGGATGCGTGAGTCTCACTCAGAAGAGAAAATAAAATAGGCATTGAAGGTGGATGGAGGAGGAAACTAGGTAGAAGAGGGGACAGGGATAAGGAGTGGGGTTTTGGATTGGGAGAACTGGGGAAAGAGAGGGAAGAGAACAGAAATCAGAGGTGGGAGCATCCCTGGGATTTGCCAGAGACCTGGGATAGGGGAGGCTCCAGGAAGTCTGTGTGACTCTCCCTAGCTGAGACTCCTAGCAGCAGCAGGGGATATGGAACCTGAAATGCTCTCTTCCTAAAGCCACGCAGGACTGCCAGTAGAGGGATAAGGATCCCAACCCATTAAGCCTTAAACACAAAATTTGTCCTGCCTACAAGATATTCAGGAACAAAGGTAGAGCAAAGATTGAGGAAATGGCCAACCAAAGACTGGCCCTACTTGAGACTTATCCCATGGGAGATTAGCAATTCCTGAAACTATTAATGTTACTCTGTTATGCTTATGGACAGGAGCCTCAGATAACTCCTCCGAGAGGCTTCATCCAGAAGCTGATGGAAACAGATGTAGAGAACCACAGCCAACAATACACAGAACTCAGGGAGTCCTGCGAAAGAGTTGGGGAAATGATTGAAGGATCCGGAGGGGTCAAAGACAGCACAAGAAGACCTACAGAGTCAACTAACCTGGGCCCATGGGGCTCACAGAGACTGAACCACCAACCAAAGAACATACATGACTGGTCCTAGGCCCCCTGCACATATGTAGCAAATGTGCAGCTTGGTCTTTATGTGGATCCCCCAACAACTGGAGTGGGGGCCCTCTCTGACTCTGATGCCTCCCTCTGGATCTTGCTCCCCTAACTGGGCTGCTTTTTCTGGCCTCAGTCGGAGAGGACATGCCTAGTTCTGCATTGACTTAATGTACCAGCGTGGGTTGGTACCCATGGGGGACCTCGCCCTTCTCTGAGGAGAAGGAAAGGGGAGAAAGGGTGTGCAGGGGTGGGGGGAGAGACTGGGAGGAGAGAAAGGAGGGGCTAGGATCAGAATATAAAGTGAGTAAATATTTTTAAAAGACCTTATTAAAGATCGATTCTGTCATATCTATTTTGTTTTGAAAGGTTTATGTACTCTAGATCCTGCTACATGGCAGATCCACAGTTGAAGTCATCTGCAAAATGCCCACACAAATTACTTTGGAAGATGGGTGAAGGTCTTCAAAAGAGCAATGAATTTTTGGCTTAGATGTGGGGAAGGGAGATAAACATGCCCTATAATCATTTAATAATATAAAAATGTGTGCACCTAAGTATCTACTACCCAGACTTGCCATTTGGTTTGCATGACCACAGAAACAGAATTCTAACAGCCATGTGAAGGAGCGATGAAGGAACAGAGCACACAGCTAGGAAAGTGGCAGAGAATAGTGATTCTCTGTACCATGTGAATACATAAACAATACTTTCTTCAGTTGATGGAAAATCAAAACACCTTTTTTTCTTGAATTTAAAGTTTGTGAAATAAAATGAAAGATTGTGCCCATAAATCTCTAAGAGGCCACAGCAAACCTGTGAACCATCTGCTTTGCTTTAATCTATTTTCATTCCCCTGGCTCATCAACAGCAGTACTTGTTCCTCCTTTTCAGCCTCTCTAGGGTTTAATCTGGATGGCTGAACCAGGTCTGGTCTAATCAACACCTCACAGAACAGGCAATAAGGTCCAAATATAGAGTTTATCTCTTTTTGACAACTGTAAGCAAATCACCCATAATACAAATGTTCCAACGAATACACCCCTCCTTGTGAAAGCTGAATTCTTTAGTTCACAGAGCCTAGCTATGTGACACAAGTTGCTATAATTCTACAAAGTACTGAAAGAATTCAACACCAAAAATCGTGAAAGTTCCAAAGTGGAGTATAATGAAAAAAAAAAAAATCAAGACTGAGCATCCTCCATCCTGACACTCTGTCAAGGCAAGTCCCTACAAGACTACTGAGCTTAAAAGGAAATAATTTTACTAGAGGAATATGTTGTAATAAGTCTCAATGTATTGGGATGTGTGGGTGGGATTCAGTTGTTTGACCACTTTGGGGAAGGACAGATAGAACAGTTTTCTAATGCTAAAATCATTGGATCCAATGCATTGGATCATTCTGGGTTTGTGAACAGTTTCTTCCTTTAATTCTATACCTTCATGGAACTAAATAGTAGTCTTTTATAGAATTTTAAAATAAATTAAGAGGCTTAACACTGATGGCACTATCAAGACAGAAGCAGGAAGTTAATGTCTATCTCCTCCATTTCACATTAGAATGTTAGGGTTAGACATCACACACATGCCTGTCTGTGGGATTCATGCTGCTTTTCCAGCTCTCTTTTCCCATAGACAACATAGAAACTTGATGTGGATATCATCGTATTGATTAAATCTATGCAAGTCCCCAGAGCACAATTACAGACTAACTCACGGAACAGAGAAGAACATGTAATTCTCTGTTGTAAAACCCTGTTCTCTAAATTCCAAAGCTGTTGCATGGCACTGTTTGACTTTTCAATTGGACTGGCTCATGAGAGTGACTGTGAAGGAAATTACTGTCTGGATATTGCTTGTTGACCCATCCTGGAGATTAAGCCCCTCCTGCATGGCCTTCCTAAAAAAGGAACTGTGCTGGAGGACTGGCAGTGCGTGCGTGCGTGTGTGTGTGTGTGTGTGTGTGTGTGTGTGTGTGTATGACGATGGGTCCATAGGCCTTTGACTTTCATAGAATAAAATTGATGCAGAAATAATATAATTCCAGGGGAGAAAGTATCCAAAAGCATGTGCGCCACATGGACATAGATGCACAGTCCATCAGGTGGCAGAAGATACTGAGAGCTTTTCTAGAACTCCTACTGTTTTAACTTTGGGATCATAGCAGGCTGGCCAATGTCCAATAGAGCATAAGACTAACTCTCTTGTATTGCTAGAAAGACAGAATTCACCCCGAGTAATTGTCACAAGCACTTAAGCATTTCTAAGATCTGGCCAGTTTCCTTTAAACACAGAATTTATAAGTAATTTTACATCCTGGTATGCAATTATAGAGCACATTTTTATGATTTCCTTTATATAATTTATGGAAAATTAGATTTGCCAAGGAAATCAAGCTCAATCAACCCTAGTCAGCATACTTTACAAATGGCTATACAACATGCAATTCCACCCAATAAAATCACAACATACAGAACTAGTGAAGGATTAGGATGCACAGACTGCAAATGGGGAAGAGTACATTAAGTGACTATGTATCTCATATTTCTCACTGCTCCAAACCCCAAATATCCTGTTCTTTCATTGCCAAAAGCTATTGAAATAACTCAAGAGTTTCCATAACCACACAACCTAGAATTCTCAATTGTCCTTTATATCTCAAGAACTGGTATAGAAGTCTTTATGAGAACACTCATTCCACAGTTTTGATAAAGAATGTAATAGTGGCAAGGTTTCCAGTAAATTCTAAAGCAAAATAAAATTTTTAAAAAGTACAATAGATCACATTTAATGACCAACCAAGCAGCCCCATCCAGCCAGGAGGTGGCCCATGGCTGTCCCCAGTCTCAAAGGATGTTAATATTAGATGAGGCTGCTCTACCATGAAAGCAGAGCAATGCAGAATCAAAATTATCCTGTATTCACTCAGGACGCGGGCACAAACACAACCAACTTTCCCCTCCCCACATTCTGGCTAATGCGGACAGTTGGTGCTTCTGGACAATCATAGCTTTATGGTCATTTGGCTCATCTTGCCATGTAGTTAACAAGTGCGAAGCTTCTCATTCACTTACTCTCCGAATATTTTCAACCAAGAAAGGCAAAGAGTCACTTCCTGGGACTCCTGCTGATCGTTTCACAGGAGACAGAAAACTATCCTTTTCTAGCATCTTCTAAGCAACCCTTAGTTCATCAGAGTCTGTGTTCTCCATGTTTGTAATAATTAAACAAGGGGAATAATTTATAAATAATAATATTAATAATAAACAGGGGAGATACCTGAGTAATTGGAAATTACTGCTATGTATTAAAACTACATAGGTCACAGCTTACTGCATGTACAAAAATACCCCAAATTAAAAAGTAAGAAGGGTTCAAGTGAATGAAAGCATGAACACATCAACTACTGAGGAACAGAAAAACATCAACTCCTGAATGTGTAAACTCTTGAGATCACAAATGACCTATATTTAAATTTTAATTTGAAGTTGAACATAAATTGGGATGATTCCGTGAAGTATTTAAACTAGTGCTTAGAAAGATGCATTCTTGCACATTAGCAGAAACAAGAGAAATGTATCGCTATTTGCCATGAAATACATCGATGATTAGTAGCAGAACCTACGTAAGTGAAGGCAGAAGATGTTAATTCTCTTTTTAAAAAGGAAGGCAGTTACCAGTCCGAGGCTGTCCAACTCTGGAATCTTCAGGTACGTTAGCTCCGGGTGCCACCCACGGCTCTTCACTTGATGCTATATTAGAGGGAATCAGAGGGTGCGGAGTGTTTTATGACAGACATATGCTACTGGGATAGGTAAGTGTCTAGGAAAAAACTGCACTGCAAAGCTCATGTGGATCCAATCGAGAGGCATAGCCTACCTAGAAGTCACCCATCCAGGCAGCCAACAACCAGAGGCCTATGTAAAAGTGACAGGAGTGACTTAATGAAGCTCCAGGAAATCTAGTCGAATCGTATTTTTATTTTCCTCTTCAGACAGCCAATGACAGGTTTTCCTGAGTTAACCAAGTGCATTTGTGCACGTAGCTTCGCAGAGAAAGAGCTCTGCATGTGTGTCCCACAGAACTCAACAGTTACCACCCACCTTATGAGATGCTAGTGTTCTATAGAACTGGACACTGTATGTTCGCCTTACGTGATGCTGGTAATGAGATCCACACCCACACACAGCAGGCAGGCATCCGATCCCTGAGCTACATCCTTACCCCACCATGCACACTGACAGCATCAAACACAAAGTGCTTCTATTTACCCAAGGTACCCCCAGGTTTCTCCAAAGGGAAGGCTGTTTTTGCCTCGGGAAACTCTGGGAACCTTTTTGGAGCTGGAATAAAACACACAGGATAGTTAGGACAGGCGTGTATAATAGAACAAAAAGGATTTAAAATTTTTCAAAGTTGCCAAAACACCAAGTACAACATAAAAAAAAAAATCACTGTATGTCAAGCAGATGCTCAGCAGTATTTATTTTTTATTTTTTATTTTTTTTACTTCTGTTTCAGTGATAGATAGTTGTTTTTTGAGACATCATGAGCTCAGGCTTTGTCATAGGAAAGGGCTTGTTAGGGTCCTAAATTATGAATGTTGTTTAAATAAGATTTTGGGTGTCAAGAATTCATTGTTCTGTATTATTTGTCAGTCTGTTCTTTGCAGGAGATTTATTTGAATTATTTCTATTAGCCATGGATTTCTATTAGCCATGCATAATATTCCCAAAGTAGCACTCATTGGTGCTGCTGTGTTCAATGACTTTTACCTAGAGTGCTCAAAGGTGATTCAAACTCAGGCATTAGAACGGAGTGTGCTGTTTCTGGAGTCTTCTGCCTGACGACTACAATAAAGAAGAGTACAATTAGCAACGTGATGGTTCAGCTTAACCATCACCAGGCACAGACTGCTTCATAGCAGACTAGCGTGCAATAAGCCTTTCATAGAAAGAGCTGGCGCTCCCGGGAAGAGTCATGTAACTGTTAAATGGAAGGTGTCTTTTAGTTCATTATCACACACGCACAACAACACACAAGCTGCTTCTTTTCTTCAAGGGAAGAGAACAAATAAGAAAAACAAGATACATTCTTCTGGGTAAAATGACAGTTAGAAACGGCAGCTAACATGAACAACCAAGCATCTCATCAAACAGCAGGCCTCTTAGTGATTTTTCCCAAATTTAGTTGGCGCAACACTTTCCCAAAACTGATTTGGGCATAAATCCCAGAGAAAGTCAAGATTTCCAGCATCTCTAGAGGCTGAAATGCTGTTCCTGTCCACTCAACCTACAAGAGAGGTCACAATGGAGGGCATGCAGTTAGTACGTAGTGGCCACATCTGCCTGTCTGGTTGGTCACCAGGATCAAGGCATGGTGCTAAGGCCTCAGTAGAATTTGTCCAAGAAACAGGAAGATCAATTCCCAGAAAAGAGAGCAGGAAGGGACAGAGCGGGATAAAGCAGCTTTTAAACCTGTGAATTCGGGGTGGGGGGGCTTGCCACTGTTGCTGTTCCATTGTTTTAAGCGGGGCGGGGCTGGGGGCTGGGAACAGACAGTTTTTAGCATTACCTAGTGCCGTCTCTGCGGTGTCTGATGCGCTAGACAGTGTGGGCTTGGTGCTTCTTGAAACTGTTTCCGGAGTCACTGAGAAGTAAAACATAAAACAACTTTATGTGCTAGGAGCTAATAAAATGGGAAAGGAACCCAGGCGTGGCACACCTTCTGTTGGCAGCCCATATCTTTTCAAGGTCCTAGGGTGAGGTTACCCACTTGCCTCTGGTAGACCTGGCTGCCTCTCCTCCCTGCTCCAGCCTTCCCGGGTTGGGAGACTTCCTAAGTGTCCCACAGAACCACACCCAACTCTTCTCTATGAAACCACCTCTCACAGCAATCTGAATGTTTTGTGTTCTCTTTTATTGCCACAGCTTACTGTGGTGCCTATGGTAAGCAGCTTACGGTGTTAGGAGTTAACAAATGGGGCGAGGGGGAAGATCCAAGGTTAGAGCAACTATCATATTATACTACCTTTCCTTTAAATCCCATAAATAACCAGCAGAGCCTGGGCCCAGGCTGCAACTGCGATTAGTGTTCAAATGTTCAGCCCTAGCATGGGTTGTCTCGGCTGCTCCATTAAAGGTAAAGAAGAGCTCCAAAAAGGTAAAGTTAGAGGATTTGGAGAAATAATAAGCGTGATTACTGAGATTTGAAAATTCCACAAACCCCTAGCATTTTGGAACAAGGACACATAGTAAACAATACTGAATAATAAGCAGTGGGGATTGCCCAAGTATTTCTGAAGTGGAAAATTCTGAAGAGAGCTTGGCAGAAAGTTGGGAAATCTGTGGACTCGCATCAGACATTGTGCCAAGAGAAGAGAGTGCAACTTGGAAAGCTGGGCTGAACGTTTGACACAGAAATGGACTCATTTACCCGCTGGTCACGCCTGTACTTTTCTCTGTGTTAACCGATCACATCAAAGTTACCAAAAAAAAAAAAAAAAAAAGTCACCTTGGAACTTCATCCAAGTGGATGCTGCTAGTAGCTCAAATGGTTTCTACCTCATCTTATAAAGGCCCATTTCTTCTTAAGGCAAGATCATACTCACTCTGTCAGCAGATATATTCTAGTTCAATCTGCTTCTTCAAGTTGTTTTGTTACCACACCAATTTTATCCTTTCTTATCCAAGCACAAGCCCCCCAAATTTAGTACAAATGGGATACCAGGCATGCCATAGGTTATAGGAATTTTATGAATTAAGAAGTTCACTTTTGATGAGAGTTTTTAAACTAATGGTGAGCTGCAGGGAATGGTTGGCAGTTGTTTGTTGTTTGCCCTGGACAAGGTGGCATCACTCTGGCAAAAACTCGGTACGCCTGAGACTGATGTCTCCCCAGAGAGTTAGCCTTGGTAGACTTACTTGAAGAACAGATGTTGAATGTTTGGTAGTAACAATGATAAACTATGGGGACACTGCTTACCATATGTTTGAAGGTTTTTTGTTTTGTTTTTAGCTCAACTACACAGTCTCTATATTAGGGCTACTAATCTGCAGAACATTTTATAGAACTATCTTAATGTATTTTCATGGCCACCATTATGGATTTATGAGGGATATAAGGTACTCTGTTGTGTTGACCACTTACGAAGGGAACTGGGCAATGAAAAAACAAAGGTGCCTCTTAGTGCTCATACAAAAGGAAAGGCCACGAACCACTGTGTTACCCCTAGAGGAAACTCTCAACTTTGACACATCTTCCGCACATTCCTCTTCCAGCTGCTTGATTTTCATCTGTTCTATTCCCAAGCTTAAAGTCCTAGAATGTCCTATTTTTTATGGTTACAATCAAAATGAATTTCTTTTTCATTCTTTTGCTTAAAAAAAATGTTTGTAGCTCACTCACTGTTTGAAACAATGCTACTTCCCTTTTCCAATAGCTCCCTAAGGATCCCATCACCTGTTACTGGCTGGGCAGTCACTTTCTCAACCTCTGGCGTTTTAGATTCTGCCGGCAGTGCCAGTGTTTCGTTCTTAGCTGAAAGAAAGAAAAACAATTTATTTCTCCATTGTACAGTGTTCAAAATTACAAACAACATTATTGCAAACGTAATAAATCACAAAATTAAAGGTTTATTTTACTATTTTATGCATGTGAGCATTTTGTTTACATGTATGTATGTGTACCTTATGTGTGCCTGGTGCTCACTAAGGTCTGAGAAGGAACTGGAGTTACAGATGGTTGCGAGCCACCATGTGGGTGCTGGGAATCGAACCAGAGTCCTCTGTATGAAGCACCAAGTGCTTTTAACCATAGCACCAGCAGTTTCCTCAACAACAAAAACACAATCGACAAACATCCCTTCCTGCCAGCAGGTCAACTTTGCTGGACGTTTCTCCCAAGGGCTAGTAGGAATAGAAGACAAACTTCAAAATTCTTCCCTATTAACCCTAGCAATTCTTTACGATCGTAATTGTTACAGAAATGACAGAGTACTTGAATAAACCTCATCACTCAATTTAAAGTATCTGTAAGAAACCTATAAATGCTCCTCGATTTTTATTCAAGTACAGCAAATTTTTAAAAATGTCAATAGGAATTTTCCATTATTTACAGATGGTAAAAAATTTAACAGGTTATGACACTAAAATTTTTTTAAACCCACAAATAAGAGACATAGGAAAGTAAGCTAATTGGAAAAGCTTGTGGTGAAACAAAATGACAATCAGTGGATTTTTATTTGAGACACATGTTAACATATATCTTCCTATTCAGTCTCTGGGAGATGGGTACAAAAATGGATTTTTTTCCTCTTCTTTATGCAACTTTGGGAAGCCTTTCTTCTAAAACTTAGGAGTTTCCTTAAATAAGCACTTCTAAAGTAGAATTGCACTCCCCCCCCAAAAAAAAAACATTGTTAAATTTTTTTTTTTCCAAGACAGGGTTTCTCTGTGTAGCCTGGGCTGTTCTGAAACTCACTCTGTAGACCAGGCTGGCCTCACACTAAGAGATCTGCCTGCCTCTGCCTCCCAAGTGCTAAGATTAAAGGCATGCCCCACCATTGCCCAGCAACAGTCTCAATTTTAAATCAAAAACAGCTCCAGCCATTTTCTGAAATTCCCTGGGACACGCTCACCCCAAGCTGAAAACTGATCTAGTCTGTGTTATCAGAATGTCAAGTTCTAGAGTTGACACCTAGAGTTCTCGTGATGTCACCTAGAGCTGGTATCACTCTTGTAGAGGCAATTTCTTTCTTTCCATTTAATGTGAAGCCAAAGCATGATTACTTCTTATGGACACGAAAGCAATTAGAACGTGGACTCGCATCAATTTGGGGTATACGTCTGTCTGTGGAGCAGTATGCTGACTACCACCGCCAAGCTAGTGTCAATGGCCACAAAGCATGGACACACGACAGAAAGAGTTAACAACATTGTTCAGTCTAGCCACAAGGGCCAAAAGGGCAGGGACTCTTTCCGTAATGACCAAACATATACACCGAGTATCTTATAAAAATCTTCTTTAAAATTTTAAAATTTACCAAGGTTTTCTTTCTGGACATCTTTCATAGCCACAGCTTTAAGCCTCACAGGCCTCTCGTGAGTTCTGCTCCTGTTCTTTTCAGTGCACACCACAGGGAGATGAAGGAACTTTCCAAGTGTAAATTACAGGGCTCCACCACCCAGTGTTCTCAACTCCATTAGGGCAATTTTGTTAATCTTTCCCTTTTCCCAAGTCCTATGGTCTTGATTTGGGTAACCTCTGCCTGGTTAGGAAACCTCTCTAACTTCAGAACTTGCCTCTGTCCTTGTCTTTGTCTGTCTGATCTCTCTCTCTCTCTCTCTCTCTGTATGTGTGTTTCTGTCTGTCTGTCCCTTGTAGGCCCCCTATACCCAAACCTTAGACTCTCAGTCAGGACAACAAACTGGATTGCTTCAGGTTCTAAAATTCAATAGCTGACTTTAATTGGCAATCACATCAACCTAAAATTCAATTACAAATGGGAAAACATGGCAATCCATCTTCTGAAAACATATTGGTATTCTTCGTACAATGCTAATTTCTAATAAAGGCATGTGGTATTTTTAAATACGGCACACCAGATATCAGAGTATTTGAGAGATAGGAATATATTTAAGTGAGAGTTTCTGGCATCACTTCACAGCCCATGAGCATTTGTCTATACTACACACACCTGTTATCTTGACAGAGACTAAAACACTATCCAACTAAGCTCTAAGCTCAGTAAATTCTTTATATTTTTCCTTTTATACTATTTTTCAGCACCACCGTTTCTCTTAACTTTTGGCAGGGCATATCTTAGCTTGGCAAAACCTTTGTAAATCTCTTTGAGATAAGTGTGTGCGAAATTAGTTCTCTTGTTTACGTAGTCTCACATGTGTTCTATTACAGCCCTTGATGTCCCATGAGGAGCTCTGCTGCAATGGGGTTATTATTTTTAGAATTTGCTCCCTCAAAAATACAACTTTTCTGAACTGCAGTGATAATTAACTTTGGGAAGTTTATTTTTCCATTGGGAAGATAAAAAGTGTTGATGCCCATGTAATTTTTATGGGAAAAATAAGGTTTGTGCATAGTAAAACAATCCGTCAACAAAATGAAAAGTAGCCTACAGACTGAAATAAAATATCTGGAAGCCAAAATTCACATGTAGACTCAATGTCTAAAATATATAAAGAGCCTCCATAACTTGGTAACACTCTACAGCACAAAAGGATGATTGATTATGACTGACAGCAGCTAATGTGGCATTTCACAATATCTGGTAGAAAAAGGTTCCAGTGATCCCAATGCAAAGACATTGCATGTATCTGAAGTGATAAATACGCCAATCCTGCACTCCTCATTATACTTTGTGTGTCTGTGTTGAACTGTAACTCTTAAGAATGTATAATCATCATCAATTAAAACTAACATAGGATTCTCTGAAGCTGCTAGGGGATAAAGAAGGGAGCCAGCCTCAGCATCCATACATAGATAAGGATGCTTTTAATAGGACTCCACAGGAAATAAAACCAACAAATGGGGTCTCAGAAAACCCAGAAGCTTTTGTACAGCAAATGTAACTGTGAATCCGTGAAGAGGTAGCCCACAGGATGTGGGGAAATATTTTCAAGCTATACATCTGATAGAGAGGTAGTGTTTAGAATATACAAGGAACTTAAAAGAAAAACCTAAACACTAAGAAAATAATCCAAGTAAAACTGAGCTAAACAGAGTTTTCAAAAGGAGAACTACAAATGGTTAGGGAACAGTCTAAAGAGTCTTCAAAAAGCAACTAAGGAGATGGCTCAGCTGTTAAAGCACTTGTCATATAAGACTGGAGAGTTCAGATCCCTGAAACCCACCTAAATGCTATGTGGGCATACATGGTGTCTTATCTATTATTCTAGCTCAGAAGGCAGAGAGACACAAGATCCTTAGAACATGTTGGCTGGAAAGATTGACCATAATAGTAAGCTTATGTTTGATTAAGAAACCCTGCATTCTCTGGAAGAGTAATTGAGGATTTACAAAGCAACCACAGGCCTCCACGTGTACATATACACATATATATGACCATATATACACATAAACATATGTGTGCATATATCTCCTCATATGCATACATTAACTCATGTATGCCACCTACACATACATGGAAATGGAAAAATATTTAGCAGCAATGGACATTAGGTATGCTGATTAAAACTCTCCTAAGATTCTACTATCTTACTTCAGTCAGGATGGCCATCATCTAAGCTTCAGATCTACTGCCAGAAAGGCAATGTTGAGCCCAATCTGACAGTCAAATATAGCAACCAGAATTGTTCTCTGGGTCTCTTTGAAGGGGATTTTGCTGGTTTTTTTTTTTTTTGTTGTTGTTTTTTGTTTTTTGTTTTAATCACACAAATTGTACTGAATTCTTTCTAGAAGAAGATACTGAGAACTATTCCTCTCCTACATATGCATGCATGTGTATAAAAGAGCTTTCCCCACAGAATGACTGATGGTAATAAGCTCTGACCCTCCAACCTCCTCCTCCATCCTCATTCTTTTGACCTCAAGTGGCTTGTTTGCTATATTCCTTACATAGTCACAGTGCTCTGCCATCCAGTGCTAGTGTTCATTGAAAAGCCCCCGCTTACCTAATTGTGCCTTGAGAGCATCTGAAATCTCAAGCATTATGGATGTGGGAAGTTTTACAGTGGTCTCGTTAAGACCCGGAATGATAAGATGAACTGAAAGGAAATAGATACAAGTGTAAGAAGAGGAAGAAAAAAATGTATCATACAAAAACAAAGCATGGCGAATCAGAAAGTAGAAATTAAAAGCTGACATTTCCTTCATTTGGTTAAGTTCAACTCCACATTGAAAATGAGAAAAATATGACTTTTTAAATAGAGTTTTTCCCCCCATATCTAGAACTTATCTACAGAAATCCTGTGGGTTTAAATTCAAAGGCTCAAAACTCTTACATGGGCCAGAGCTATTTCTTAAACATGCCAAGATAAAGTAAGTAGCTTAGAATGGACACAAGCCGAGAATCTAAAAACAGTAACATGAAGTAGACTGACACTAATTTAGCACACTTGCCCATAGTATAAAACTTCATGAGGACCCTATTATCAAAAGCCAGCCTAGACTACACATTCTAGATACACATGACCGACTTACCTAGTATTGTTCCTCCAAAAGGAGTCTTGTCTGGGGATTTGGTTGAAGCCCTATGGGTGACATTCTGAATCACTGGCGAAACATAAAAAGACAGTAGTGTGATGGGGATGAACACAGGAAGCAATACGAAGCTAATGGTGTAAAGCTACCTTCCATCGTATGGTCTTAATCTAAATTTCTCAATCAACAGAAGCACCTCAGTGAGTTAGCTATCACGTCAACGGAAGAATTAGGTATGTCCTGCCTTAAACAAAGCCTGTCTTTATTACTTGAGCATAAAGTATCCCATTCTAAGTCGTGGAAATCCCACTCTGTCTCTATGTGCGTTCTGCCCATTTCACAGAGCAATTGAGAGCTTGCATAACACATTGCAATGATGAGACAGTATATGTAGTTGAAAAACATATCTTCAAATCGAAGAATCGTTCAGTGATCCCAGCAGTAACTGGTCCTGCCTTCAGCATATACTTAGGACACGGTGTTTTCTTAAAAGAAAGAACTATTTTAAGGCAGTAGCTCTTCTACCAAGAGATTTTTCTCTGGAAATAATGGAGTTGTTTTAATAACTTGAAAACTGGAAGCCAAAACAAAACTGGACAATGAAATGAAATACAGTATTGTAATTCTTAAAACATGGACATCTTTACTTCCCCTAAGTGACTGCTAAATCACAGTTTTCATTCTCAATATCCTAAATGGTCTGCTAATTGTTTTCCTCGTGTACTTAAGTTAGGATTTAGATAACTTAATCCTAAGTAAAGATCCACATGTTTAACTGATTAATTTAAACATAACACATGGTACAACCACTTTGTTGCCCCACTGGTATGATTTGTTCAAGGTTTTTCATATTGATGCCACAGCCAAAATTATGTATTAACCATAAACTTACACTAGTTTCTTCAAATGTTTTCCAAGCACCACTTTCAGAAAAACTGAGAAAGCAGACACTGTATGTTTATATTAGATGAACAGACCACTACAATAGTTTCTCAGAATATCAGACTAATTACCTTGCTTGATGATTGTTATTGGGATTAGCTTCCTTGGGACATATGCTGGCTGGAAAGAGAGAAAGTCAACTTTTACATCAGTGTTAATAAAAAAATCAGAATTCTGAGAGGAGTCCTTTCTTGTCTTCAGTGAAATCACCCATGACAGCGGTTTAACAGTCACTGGATAAATATTTAGAATATGCGTTTGCCTTCATTTGTGCTGAACTCATTTGTTTACCCCATAGAGGGCCGAAACCTCACAGAAGCAAGTCTTCAGAACTCCCATTTTCTTAGAAATTGCAGCAGTGGGTACCCACTCTTCCCACAGATTTCCACTATGAAACTGATACTCTGGTCCAGCTTTCCCTCAAACTAGGAATAAGATTACTTAAGATGGGCCAGGACCAGAACGCAAAGACTGAGCACTATGAAGAAATTGAAGACTGTGATTACAACAACCCTAAGGACACCTCCGACTTTTGCCCTGGACTTTAGGCTGCTGACAGTAATGATGAAGAGTCACGTGATTTATTAGAAGAAACCAGTTGGGACCCTTGACCTCGAATCTGATCCTTGCTGTATGCCCAAGACAACATGGGAGAATGGTCACATTTCTCCTGAAAGCCAAGGAGTAGATATCACAACTTACAGAGAGTTGAACCTGTAGCTGAGTCTCAGAAGGTGAATAGAATAGAAATTCATGATGCCAAGACTGCCAGAGAGATGGTCATGAAGAAGCTGAAGCAGAATATGTGAAGTCTGCTGACAGAGTTTTCTAGAAAGGAGGCTGTCACAGAGGCAAACCACAGTGACAATGGAAAGAAGGGGCTCCCAAGGAGAAGAAACTCGGTGTGCGCTCAAAGGATCTGCAGAGGAGGCTGCCCCTGCCCATGGCTCAGAATCTCTCATTACCCCTGGCTCTTGCGTGTCTCCTGCAGTTAGCCAACGAAAAGAATCTGAAGCTAAAAGGCACAGAGGGTCTCTCTGATGCTCTTATGACACAAAGAAACTGGGTCCACTTTTGAGATGCCTGCAGCAGGAGGCCCATTGCTTTCTAGTGGCAATGGAGAAGTGCTGGGGCTGTCGTGTGGCTATAGCCAACGAGCACGGCGCTTGCTGTTGTTCTCCCTCTCTTACCACCTCAGTCTGGATGGCACACTCTGGAGCTCCGTGCTGGTGCAAGTTTTCATGTGGGTAACCATCCACCCTGGAGAAGGGTGCCTGTTTGTCTGAGGTATAAAGAACTGTTTGAGCATAAACTAGTGCTGCTGTTAGTGAGGATACTGTAATCGCCCACAGTCCTTAGTACCACCTTTTACTGCACAAGAGAGAAGAACAGTGACTCAGAACAAAATATTTCTTCAAACTGAACCTAAACATGTTCATTCTGCCACTCTGCACTGATTTATATGTGGGGGGACTCCAAATTTGAAGGTCATGACCCAGAGGACCGCATGTCTTACCGTCACCCAAACTATCTTCCAAGCCCCATGGGATGTTTTGATGTCCCACAGTGCCTAGGGATAGGATTAGACTTTAAAGTGGAGTCACTGGCTGCCAGACACAATCACATGGGCAAATGGTGAGGCAGATGAGAGAGGTGTGGAGAGAGGTGGTGATGAGAATGATAGGGAGTTCAAATTAGGAGGATTAGAGTTGAGCTGTTGAAAGAGTAAGAATGACCAAATTTGGGCACTTGGTTTAACTCACATACTTGAAGGAGGCACAGCATGAGCAGATCTGCCTATTTTGAATGTGCACTGAATTTGAGACACTAATAACATTCACAGCTGTGAGTGAAAGAGTGTGGGGACATGTTATCATTTTTCAGGATGGTGTAAGAGGGGCCATAACACCGACCTTACTCTTGCTATTTCTCTCCCTGTATGTTTAAAAACTATAAAAGAATTTACTATCACTGGATAATTATTTTTAAAGGATAATCTCTACTCACTGAGCCAGAAATTTCTACCTTACTATACCAGCATAAGTACTCAATCAGGTACAGATAATTATGTGTGTGAGCACATTTATTACTATGATTGAATAAATTTATTACCTAAAGTTCAGGCTTTATTCAATAAGGTGTAGTTCAAATAGTTTTCTATTCATAGTCTGAAAAAATATAAAGGCTATAAATATAAATTTAGACTCACACTATAACCCAAATTTACAATACACAGGTGCACACATACATATGTACATACGTAAAACATAGTAGAAAGAAATAACATCACAATTTCAACACCAGTTATTATAAGCTGACATTAAATTTTGTACATATACCTTTATTTACCAAGATCCTGAGACAAGTGAGTTTCAATAGAAATTTTCAGAGGAAGATGTTTCCCTGACTTTGCCTACCACACATTTCCATACTGTAACTTAGGTCATCCACCACTGCTGGACAGGGCAATGATTGAAAAATAGCATTGCTGTGGTTTTCCTTATATGAATAGAATCACAAAAGAAACGAACATTCATAGAAAAGTAAAATATTGTCAGCTATGGGTTGCCACGCGCGGGAAGATCCCTTCTAGCTTTATCACTGTAGCATGTGTACACAGCTCGCACTGAGGACAGACAGGTCCCTGCCCACTCTATACTTCCCCAACACCCACCGTACCAGCAACCAGCCACTGCTCTATTTGTGCTGCGGAAGTACCCCCAGCCTGGGTCTCTACCTACCACTTCTAAGAATGTTGTTTTTACATTTGAACAGTTTATGTTCGCTTTCCTTGCAATTCATAGCTTTACATCTGTCTATAATAAGTATGTAATGCTTAGGAGATTCAATGTGATATTTTGAGAAAATTATACAAAGTGGTCCATCGTTCTTGTGGTGAGAAATTTGATATGTATTTCAATAAAGTTAATTGTTGCTTTCTATTGTATGGCCATTCTCAAGAACTGCTTTCTCTTATCTAAATGAAACTTTAGCATCTCCTTCTTCTTCAAGATTTATTATCTTCACACCCCTAGCCAGCACAGTATTCCCTATAGTATTCTCAAGACTTCTGAGAATTCTGCATGCCTAGTGGAGCAAGCTCTGGTTTCAGCAGAGCCTCCTATGTAGAAAGCCAGATTGTCTTTCTAGTACCAATATATAAAGTCTATGGCTACCGTGAAAAAGACATCTGAATATTCTGTTTATTTGCCTTAGGAGTCCTATCACAGTATTCTACAGAATGTGACATTTCTCAAAAACTGCTGAGATGCTACAGCAGAAATGCCTTCATATGGCTGTGCTGATCACCTTTGAACTGGATTGCATCAAATTTATCCTTCTTATGCTACAGTGATGGTTTTCAGACAAGCTTTTTTTTTTTTTTTAACAAATGGAAAATATTCTATTCATCACGTGAATGGAACAACGTTTCTGTTCTGAGTTCTTGCTTGAGTACTGACCAATGTTTTATTAAATTGATGACAAGAATATAGGTACAGGGTGTGCTGCCAAAAATAAGGAAACGATTTAGCTGCAGAATGCATTTCTTTCTAGACCTGTAATTGCTTTCTTGCCTAATCTGTAATCCAAAGACTAAGACTAGACCAGTGAACAAATATCTACCTCTCAGCAGATAGATGTAAGGGCATCAAAAAAGTCCAACCATCCAATATGTCTACCAAATACAAAAGTCCCCATGAAGAAATGCACACTGAGTTCTTCCTCTCTGTCTGCTTACGAGGTGAAAGTAGAAGGAAACATCTGCTGCCTAAAATCACTGGAAAACAAAATATGATAATTCTTAAGATACCGAGGTTTAATCATTTTCATTTAAAACCTAATTTCATTTAGGTTTTATGTTCAGCATTTTTTTTTAAAAGATACCACCACTACCCTTCCCTTGTTTCCACAGGCTAGTTTCTATGGCTGTTGATGAATGTGTGCTAGAGCCATGGGTATATACAGTATGAAACTAGAATATGAGGAGTGTGGACCAGTGTTGTAATATGGTTTGAATCTCTCTCTCAAAATACACGTTAGGAACTTAGTACAACACTATCAGCTGGTATAAAATATAGGAGGTGACTAGATCTGAAGAGTTCTTCTAATGCTAGGGAATGGAGTTAACGAGTGAAACCACGGGCTTCCTAAAGATCCTGCTTGGTTTCTTGTCAATTTGGCATAAGCTGGAGTTATCTGGGAAGAGGAACCTCAACTGAGAAGATGTCTCCATCTGATTGCCTAAAGGCAACTATGTGGACACATTTTCTGGATTAATGCCTGATGTGAGTACACCCAGGCTCACATGAAGACTCTTGGGCAAGTGGTCTTGAGTTGTACAAGAAAGCAGGCTGAGCAAGCCATGGGGAGCAAGCATTTCTCAATGGCTTCTGCTTTGATTTTGCCTCTAGGTTTCCCCTTGAGCCATTGCCTGACTTCTCTTGATGATGAACTATGACCTGTGAGGCAAAATAAACCCTTTCCTTTTCAAATATCTTTCCGTCATGGTGTTTACCACACCAATAGAAACTCAATGAAGAAACCAATAAAAGGCCAAGCTTGCTCCCATCTCTCTTTTCCTTTTGCTTCCTACCATAGGATAACATATTATGAAGTCTTTTACCAAGTGCCAATTTCTTGGTCTTAGATATCCAAGCCTTTAGAATTACATAAAACATACATCTATGTTCGTGCTGGCTAGTATTATGTCAGTTTGACACACAAACTAGAGTTATCTGAAATGAGAGAACCTTAACTGAGAAAAATGTCTCCATAAGATCCAGTAGTAAGGCATTTTCTTAATTAGTTATTGATGCAGAAGGACCTACCCCATTGTGGGTGATTTCATCCCTGGGCTGGTGGTCTTGGGTTCTATAAGAAAGCAGGCTGAGCCAGCCATGGAAAGCAAGCTAGTAAACAACACCCTCCCTGACCTCTGTATCAGCTCCTGCTTCCAGATTTCAGCCTTGTTCTGAGTTCCTGTCCTGACTTCCTTCAGTGATGAGCAGCAATGTGGAAGTGTAAGCTGAATAAAACCTTTCCTTCCCAACTTGCTCTTTTGTCATTGCAATGATAGAAACCCTAACTAAGACAGTGGTCTTTATGAATTACCTGGTCTA